TAATGCAGATTTTATAATTGCTGCTGATGCGGAGGTCCAAGAAGTGCATCGGAACCCTCATCGTGAAGCACGAGATCGTCGTCGACAGTGCATACTCACACCTCATGAGGCAGGGCATGCGGACCAATCCTTGGATTCAGATTGATGTCTTGTTATTTATGTATTTACCATCTTATGAGTATGTTGCACTTTTTATTAATATTCTACCACATGATATATTACTATACTATATTACTTGACTTATTACCTAAAACAGTGTTGTTAATCACATTAATAAGGAAATATGCGTTACACTCTCATTAACATTAATAAAAATATACGTTAATACAGATGGTCACAATAACAACATAATATCACAGTACACTTTAATAACATTAACAACAACAATTTGAAGTGAAATGCAACAATTTCTTACACATGGTGATGATTACGATCATTCGGTTGAGGACATTGACGTTGATTATGACCAGGCTGTCTACACAACCTACATCTTTGTCGTGGTTGTGACTCGACCCAATCCATTTCATTCCTAATTCTAGTAGCCTTTGGTCTTCCTTTACCTCGTACTCTTTCTACATCTGGCACTAACTTCCACTCAGTATTTTGTAAAATATTATTTTCATTTCCAAGAGGCCACCACTGAGATGAATATGCATTCACAACATTATGTAAAGTATAAACAGGATCCACAAATTGCCAAAAGTCTATACTTATATGAGCACAAACAGCTATGACATGTGAGCATGGATATCGGAGAGCCTTAAATTTCCCGCATTCACAATAACGTGTTGATAATATGACTGTCCACTTATGACCACCCCTTTGTGTCACTGGATTAAAAGCTTCCTCAACCTCAAACCTTGTTCTTTGTATGTCATACCGCCGAACTTGATGTGAAGATGCTTCTTGTTGATTTTTTTCTATAGCTTCCATTAATTTCTGACAGTATCTTCCTCCATTGTTAACCTCATGCATTGCAGTTTCACCACGCTTCACAAAATATTCTACCAATCGGGCATACGTAGCTTTGACCAAGGCAGTAATAGGAAGGTTTCTTGCCCCTTTCAAAACTTTATTTACAGACTCAGACAAAGTAGTAGTCATGTGTCCATAACGACGTCCTTCATCATCATAAGCCAAGCTCCACTTTTCCTTTGATATATTATCTATCCAAGTCTGAATTTCAGGTGATTGTGATCGAAACGTATTAAGTTTAGATTCAAAAATCTGTTTTGATGGTGTATATCCTGCGTTTAACAGAAAAAGGTATAATGTACAGGTTAAAAATTCAAAATCTATTAAAACTTAAATGAATCAAATGGGCAGAATATGTACCTAATTGAATTAGTTTTTTCTTCAACATGGTATTTTTGAATCGTCGATTGAAATTGCTGGCAATGTGACGAATGCAATAAACATGATAAGCATTTGGAGGTTGCCAACCTAGATGTGGGTTAGAGACTGCACCTTTTATACTTTGATGTCGATCTGAGATCAAACATAGCCCTGCCTTATTTGTCACATGTATACGAATCATGGCTAAAAACCATTCCCATGCAGATAACGTTTCTCCTTCGACAATGGCAAATGCAATGGGAAGCACACAATTGTTACCATCTTGAGTCGTAGCAATTAGCAAAGTTTGTCGGTACTTACCGTACAAAAATGTTCCATCTACCTGTATTATAGGCTTACAAAAGTTGAAAGCTTCATGACATTGCTTGAACGACCAATACAACCGATGAAAAACTCGATATCTATTATCCACGGTGTGACCTTCAACACAATCATTTGTTTCAATTTTGTATACAGATCCAGGAGCATGTAATTGCATGTACTCTAGCCATCTTGGCAATGCAGCATAAGATTCGTCCCAATCACCAAAGACAGTAACTATTGCTTTTTGTTTTGCTTTCCATGCCTTCTTGTACGAAATTGAATATCCAAATTGACCACTAATTCTCTCTTGAATTAACGAAATCGGGACTGATGGTTCTTCTTTCACCATACCTGCATCGCATATAATGACAGAGTTTTTAAATTTGTTGGGATGTAATAAGGTGAAAATTAGTTAGTTTTTTCTATTTCAAAATAATAAAATTTAATACAAGATTAGACATACCAAGAATGCATGAGCAAATAAATTTGGAATCCAACTTTTGGTGGTCTTGAGAGATTGAAACATTTACGCATGTATGGGCACCACCCCACTTTATAATTTTCCACTTGTCTGCATTTTTTGGCAAGGATGCTCGAACTCTCTAAGGACATCCACTATTGTGATTGACACACTTCACAACATATGTTGTTGCTTTTGATTCCACCACAAAAAAAGTTTGATGTTTCCTCATGGCATAATGTTTTACAGCCATTCTTACATCTTCTTTAGTGTCAAATAGTTGTCCAACATATAATGCATCTCCTTCCTTCCATGATTGCGCGTCATTCATACCAACAAAATCTAATTCTTGATCAGGGTGTTCCCAATTAATATAACTGTAATGTGGACTTATATTCCAAAAGGGCAATGTTGCTTCTGTATTACAACAATTCATTCGTCAAACTTATACCCTAATTAACAATTTATACATTACTACAAATATAAGTAATGAAAATATATAATTGGCATCACTATCTAAAATCATACCTCCTTGTTGTTGTTGTTGTTGTGTTGAACTAACTCTTACAATACCTTCCATATTGATCATTGAATCACAATCATCATCTGTCTCAGTATCTGACAAATTATTTAATGAAATATCTTCTTCATCTTCATATTCATCATCTTCATCTGTAAATTGTACATTGTAAACTTATATTATTAATTAATATTGCAGCATCAATTTTAAAAATTTAAATTAAATAAATTCATATTACCTTCTCTTGTGGCATAATCATCATCATCACTTCCATGAATATGTGAGAGTGATAAATTCACTTCTAACGGACGTGCCACAACAGAAGATGTTTCACCAACCGCAACATCCACATATATCCCAACTACATTCCTATGATGTTGTTGTTGACAAGCACTTATCATGCAATCTATATCTTCATCGTCACATACATCTAGAGCTGTATGATATCGACCATTTGTTCCAACTAAAATTCGTGCAATTAATCTAGAAATTACGTGACAACTAGACAGTTTCAGTTTTGTCTGGATCTTCCTTTTAAACATCTCAAATGTGATCCCACGTTCTATCTTAATCATCTTTTTCTCCCCTTCAAAAATTATACCCTCATTTCCTTCATATATTCTACCATTTGAATATAATATAACAACAATTTCATTCATCCTGCATTAAAAATAAGCAAAGCTCATTTCAAAATTAATTTATAATATAATAAATTATATTTATAAGTTCATTTTTAATTACAAATATTTACATATTTAATTTTTAAATAACACAAAAAAATTAAATTACAACTTTAACACTTAATAGCCATTAAATAAATATTTTAAATATTATTATGCAAAGTAAAAATTCTTAATAACCATTAAAAATAAATTATATATTTGTAATGCTTAAAAACTAACCTGATTGAGCTATGATTGTGATTTCTATCCCTGCTACACACTTCCTATCTCTTCCCAAGCCAATGTAATTTTTTCCCGAGCTCCATGGTCATATTTATAGGGTTTCTATCTTGGATAAAAGAATGTATCAAAATTTTTATCTACTGGTCGCAGTAAAATCGGCTCTGCGGTGAGCACTACTAAAATCGTCCCAAATAAGACGACACTAGTTCCTCCCATGACACGTGGCGCGATCTGGTGAGTGTCATCCTATTAGGAGACGACACTCTCATATTTCGACACGTCAGCACCTGTGTCGTCTAGAACAGAGACGATTCTCTTGCCACGTGGCTCTCAACCCCAGACCAGGAATTTGTTTCCATGAAACCTTATTTACATAATTTTTTTTTTAAATTAACCCTAAAAGGGAAAAAAAGCCACAAGAAAAGGCTGCTATTGGTAGTGCTAACAAGCTTTACAGACAATATGCGTAACATAACAAACCAAACCAAAGCAAAGGAAACGTGTTCGGAGTTAAGACACTATGGTTTAGTGTCGGTGCGTGAATATCCAATGCCAATGTGCCTCGTACCCTCCTATTTCCATTTATTACAATTCCTCTTTACACTCTTTCTTTTTTTGGTGTATACTGTATATAGCAACGTTTCATCGCTCATTTTGTTTTGATGGAGAAAAACAATGAGAAAGATTCACATGCTTTTAATTCAAACCTTTTTATTTACTTAAAAAACTTTATCATCAAATTTTAAGATTTTTTTTCAACTTGTCTTCTTATCTTTGGACTTTTTATTTTTTAAAAATTAAAAAAATATTTTAACAGAATTTATTTTTAAAATGTTTGATTTTAAATTAGTTAAAAGATGGTTTATTTATATTATAAATTATGATTATTTGTAAAATATGAGTCTATTTTTAATGATTTTATAACACTGATTAAGAAATTAAAAATAGATTTTTATTAAATTATGTTAAATTATAGTAAAAGTAAGATACAGAAGGGTATTTTGTAACATTTTCAGAATTTTTTTCATTACATTTGCTTAAATTTAATTAATGCACCAAAAATTTTATGTTTTTGGCAAACTAAACCATTACTGAATATTACAAAAATTTACTAAATATTAGGGTATTGATTAAAAAAATATTAAAAATGTAAAAATAGGTATTTTATAATTTTAATGCATTTTAGCATTTTGTCTATACTATTATTTATTAATTAGCAAGACCCAATAGTAACCAACATGAAATGCCCTCTTTATGAATAATATAATATAGTTTGAAGGAATATTTAAGATTTTGTTTTCATTTTATAAATCATCACACAGATATTAGTTTGTTTTCATTTTTAAAATTCATTTTATTATTCTAATGATTGTTATAAAGAAAAAAAAAATTAATTGTCTCACCAAACAACTCCAATAGCATAAAGTTTATATTAAAATAATGTAATACAGCTATAATAGCCATTCTGGAAAAAAGATAAAAATCAGTGTGTCCCTTCCATTAAATCCCACAGCATCACAGCACTATTTTCCTCTTCTTCTCGCCTCTCTTTCTCTCTCAAAGTGTTGCTGTTGCAGAGAGAGAATGGATTGAGAAATCTCTCTCTCTTTCTCTTCCCATTTCACTCTCCTTTGGATCAATCGGGTAACTCATCATCTTTTCTCTTTTACTTCATTTTATTTATTTTATTTTGTTGCTGTCGGTTTAGATCGGCTTTGTTTGCATGCGTGGAACGAGAAATCACTTTCACCGTTAATCGTTAGGTTTTCGGTTTAAGCGATTTCGTAGACATTGCACCTGAAAATTACTCTCGAAAAAGCGCTACGAATAATTCTGCAATTTATAATTTGTTTTTATTTTCAGGAAATTCAGTTAGTTATTGTGACAAAATTCAATTGTTTTTCTTTTTTTTGTTATCTTGTTCACGTTGTTGTTGTCTTCGGTCTTGCCTTAATACAGTGTAGTAAATTTTCTTAGTTTTTTTCTTATTCGTTTTTTTAGGGTTTTGGTTGTGGTAACTTAAAAGGTTTGGATCCTAAACGTTTTTCGGCAAGTTATTTTGGTTTCAAGCCTGAAAGCTATTTTTGATTGTGTACTTGGAAATTTTAGCGATCAATCAAGTCACTGGAAAAATCGTGAAGAAATGAATGCTTGAGAATTTGGTGAAGCTTCTTAAAATGAGGTGTTAAAATTTGTTATTTTAAAGTGGAATTGTTGGGCTAAGTCTTACTTTAGTGAAGTTGGTGAAGCTTTTTACCGTAAACTCAAAGATTATAGAGTTGTCTATAATTATTAATAGGATAATACTCCAAATTTATTTTTTGATGTTCCTATGCATACTGTTAAGTTTAGCTACAGAGTGTTATTGAATTGGAACTCATTAGATATTACATAAGTTGAACTTTGGTTTTTAGTTTATTATTTTATTTTGCTCAGCTTCTTTGCTATGGAAGACACGGATTCAGTTGCTACGCTGATAGATTCTACAACTTCTAAGATACAACAGCTGCAAAAGGCGTTTGCTGAACTTGAAAGTTATCGGGCTGTTACTCTTAACTTGAAATGGAAAGAACTAGAGGAACATTTTCATGGGCTTGAGAAATCCTTGAAAAGGCGCTTTCATGAATTGGAAGACCAGGAAAAAGAGTTTGAGAACAAAACAAGGAAGGCTCAAGAGATGTTGGAGAAACGGGAAGCGGATGTTTTTGCCAAGGAGCAAGCCTCCTTGCGGGGGCTTCAAGAGAAAAGGGATGCTGCTGTATTTGCCATTGTGAATGCTCAAGAAAAGCATAGGAAGGTGTCGTCAAATGAATTGGCTGTTGCCTCCAATGGGGGTAGGGAGACACCAGATGTGGAGGAGAGACTGGTGGATTCCGTCTCCATTACTGCTGAAGGTAATGTGGAAGATGTGAAGCTCTATCCTGGAAATGGAAACATGGAGGTGATGTCTTATCCAGAATTGGTGAAACTATGTAAAGAGATGGATGCTGCTGGACTACACAAATTCATATCTGATAACCGTAAGAACCTTGCTGCTGTGAGGGAGGAGATACTTTATGCATTAAGAGCTGCTCCTAATGCTGCCCGTTTAGTCTTAGATTCTCTGGAGGGATTTTATTGTATGGAAGTGTCAAGCCTGGATGTAAAGAAGGATGCTAACTTATTGGGTCTTCGCCGAACCTGTATCATGCTGATGGAATGTCTAAGTGATTTCCTGAGCAACTCAGATTGCGTTTCTAATGTAATTTCAGAAGATATCAAGGACAGGGCAAAGGCAGTTGCTGAAGAATGGAAACCCAGATTGGATGCTCTTGACATGGATGCAAGCAATGGGAATTCCTTGGAGGCTCATGCATTTTTGCAACTTCTAGCCAGTTTTGGTATTGCCTCTGGTTTTAACGAGCATGAGTTGTCCAGGTTAATTCCAATGGTGTCTCGACGTCGCCAAACTGCTGATTTATGTCGTTGCCTTGGGTTGTCAGAGAAGATGCCTGGTGTGTATCTGCCCTTTTATAATGTTTGTTTGACATTAATCAACACCTTGTATAAAGCATCAGGGATTTTGAACAATGTTGAGTTGAATCCGATGCAAATAAAAAAAAAAAAAAAGTTTTTATGTTCATTTTTATTTGCTTACATTTTTTTAATTCTGTGCTCAAAATTTCATCTAATTATCTCGTGTTTGTGTATCTTTTCCTTTAAATATGTTTTTGGATTTCTATTATGAAAAAGTTGTTTCAGTAGGGTTTTTTTATTTTTTTATTTTTTTATTTTTTATTTTTATAATATGCCATCTTGTTAAAGTATCCTGTGCCTTGCAAAACCATCCTTTGTTAATAGGATTTTCCATGTCCTACAAAATTTGGATAATTGGTTTATGGATTTTGCCAGTAGTCTTCATGAATGTGCATGTTGTACAAATTATGTGGTTAAGAATTCCTGAAACTTGACAGATTACAAAGCAAGCCATGATGGACTTTAACAAGGACACTAGACAACAAGACAATTACTTTTGACATGCAAACATGCTCAAATTTAGCATTTGTATTAATTATAGAATGAATTGACTGAGCCATTGCTTCTGTTTAATTTTGTCCTCATAATTTCTAATGTTCCATTGTACTTTTTGATGTGCAGGTGTAATTGCAGTTTTGGTGAACAGTGGGAGGCATATTGATGCTGTTAACTTGGCTTTTGCTTTTGATCTTACAGAGCAGTTTTCACCCATTCCTTTACTGAAATCTTACTTGAAGGATGCTAGAAAAGCCTCTCCCGTCAAAAGTGTTAACTCATCTCCCACTGCACAAGTAAGTTGTTGAGTATCAGCTATATTATGTTATTATTGCCTCTGTTATTATTTTGTTGAATGTTTTGAACTGCTCTGAAATGTTATGTCCAGTTTTAATTGAGCCTATCTAATAGTTCTGTGTCATAATGACATGTTGAGTTGGTAGTTGCAAAGGAATAAATGTATTAGAATGTTTATCATATCATCATAACGTACTCTAATCAGGTACTCCCCCAGTTGAGGATCTATCTTATGAGCTGTTTCCTATTTCTATTATTCTTCTGTTTCTGTTTACTTGTTTGATTAGACATTGAGTTAGGAGTCTTGTTGTATTAGTAGGCTTGTGATGCTTGTCCATTTGTACTCGCAGCATTACACTAGTGTTTGACCTAATTATTGAGAATCATTGGGTAGTATGTTGTAACACATCAAATTAGTCGAATCACATCATATTGTTCATTAATATTTATATTCTCTTTTTGTCCTTACCTACCTTAACCTTATAATTTCAGCAGTTTGCTGTAGTAGAAACTATTTGTGTAATGAGACCATTTGTTAACATTGTTTATAACAGTGACAGAAAATCGTTCCCTTGTGTTATATTTGGTGCTATTTGGAGCATTCAGGTTTTGCTGGTAGCCTAAACTTGCTCATGACTTGAGTTGCATGAAATAGTGTATGCAACTGTTTGGACTGCTTTGTGAATTTGTTTTAGATTTCATGGGTAGCCGTGTAGGATTATTCAGCTTCATCTATAGCAATGTATATTATTGGGGTGAAGACATAAATATATGGGGGAGACCCCACTTCCCCAGAATATAATCTGAAGATCTTTTAGAAGAAGTTTGATAATTTTGTTCCAAAGGAAAAATGTATCAAACTTTGGAAAAATTCACAAGTGTTAAGAGGCTTTGGATCAAAGGAGGAATGATATGCTTCTGCATTTTGTCTCAGCCCCTTGTTCTGATTTCTTCTATTCCCTAACTTAAACATCTAAATTACTTAGATGCATAAATACTACATATAGGGGTGTGAATGAGCCGAGACAAACCAAGTATTTAAAGCTCAAGTTTAGGTTATGAACAGAAAAAAAAATGCTCAAGCTTGACTCATTTATTTAAACTAGCCAAATTTAAAACTTGAGCTTGACATGATTAACAATTTTGAGGCTTAGACTTGGCTCAATAACTTGTTTATAATTTTCTTTACAAGTTTTGAATAGTGTTTTTAATTTATTTAATATTTAATGAATATTTTTAGGCTAAAAAGTGAAGTAAAATGGTAATAAAATATAATTTTTTCTACATAAAGATGACTTAAAGTTAAAATAAAATTTTTATTATGAAAATAATATATTTCTTCAAAAAAATATAATCACTTGTTTAAAATACAACTTGTGAAAATTAAAATTACATAAATAATAACCACACAATTATAATAATAAAAAATATAAATTTCAAGTAATTATAATAAATAAAATTATAATATCTAAGTATACATATGTGAGCTATTAATGTTAAGCTTGCAAAGCTTGAATTTGATTCATTTAAATAATTGAGCAGAGCCCATGAGTAGCTTAGCTCATTTATACCTCTAACTGCATATGTGACAAATAAGTTCTGGCAAATAAGATCAGGAAAAAGAAATATAAATTAAGTTAAAATTCAAATCTTAAATTCAATACCAGGATTTTGTGAGTTTATCCGACTGTGGTTGGTGGTTGCCTACCTGCCTTGCCATTATGCAAAGTCTTGTATATAAGAATATGCCTAACTGGCCAAAGAGAAGCTACGGGAAATGCAGTGATTTTCTTTTCTTAGCATTCGCCCTGCCATGCAAAAAAGGTATTTTGGTGAGCCTAGCTTTCAAATTTTAAATTTGGACTCTGTTAGGTAACTCTCATTAGTAGTTAGTCAAAATATATTGATTAGTTACCAATTAGTTAGTGAGTTTAGATAGTTTGAATATGGCATGTTGCCTTCAAATAATAGAGGAGGTTAAGAGAGGGACATTGTGTCATTTAGAAAGGATTAGACGCTTAGAGAGTGAGGAGAGAACAGGGCCTCTTGAATACCCTGAGTTGTACTAGTGAATAATACACATTTTGTCTCATTTCTTCATGTAGCTTTTCTATTTCTTTCTCTGTTTTGATCCAGTAATATCAGATTCCAAGCACTTCTTTAGCCTCTCCATTTCATTAAGATCATTTCCCTTGTGACAACCTTTCATGAGTTTATCAAAAGCCGGTGAAGGCTCTATATTGACACCCGGAAAGGTCTCCATTTAGGAATGCATTCTTGATATGTAACTGTTGAAGTGACCTATCCATATTTTCAGCAATCGAGAGTGGCACATTAACTGTGATGAGTTTAGCTACAGGTGTGAAGGTTTATGAATAGCTTGTGCCATATTTTGTGATGATTGATAATTGCTAATACACATAGCAGCAAGGGAGAGATTGATAATGCTTCCATCTTGATCATACCAATGACATGCTAACAGCTTAAGCTGTTAGGAGAGTTAGTTCATGACATGCAGCTTCTACGACCAAGCAGTCTAGAGTTTGATCCTTGCCACCCCCCATTGTTCTATATAAAAGTTGAACTTCAGCATAAGGTAGTTGGGTCTGTGTATTGTCTTGATTCAAGTCCAAAGGGCCCTTCCATGCGGGGGCATGTTATATAAAGCCATTCATGAGCTTTCACCAAACAGCTTGTGCTCTTGGGAAAGTTGGTTCATGACAAGCAACCACTTGGTGTAACGCTTGTGGTCTTTATAAAGGGGCATCCCTTGTAGATATGTTGAGTGATTGGAAAGCTTTATTTCAGTATTTGTTTTTATCTTTTTCTTCTTTTGTCTGTGTTTTTTGGAGGAGAATATTATTCTCCTGACTCTGTGTATTCAATTTCTCTTTAATCTAATGAATTTCTTTCTTCTTTTTCCAAAGAAAAAACAAAAGTGATTGTTGCATTCTTTTAGAGAAGGGAAGAAGCTGGCCCCTTGAATTGATAGCTTAGTTTCTATAATTTATATCTTAGATGTGATTTTGTGAGTTGACTGACTCCCAGTTATCTGTACTATAAGGAGTTCCTATTCTATAGTCATATATAATTGGTCTACCAATCATATCCTGAACAACCCGGGTGGAGGTGTATTACATGGGTTGTGCTACTGGCACATTACAGAAGCTCCATGCTGGTGTGGGTAGTGGGAATGGTTGGAGTTGTCGTTAGTTCAAATCATCATTTGTTTACCAGTATCGACTACTGTCACTTGCCAAATCACAAAAAATGGACACAATTTCTTTCTATGAATAGATGTAATGGCAAGGGAGTGATTTAAATTAACTGTTCTTGTCACTATCTCCTTGAGTTGCCGAATGGTTGTCTAAGTGTGTCTAAGGACGTACAAAAGTATATTTTTGGTGTTCACATTACGTCCTTACTTGTTTGATTCGAGTTACCTACAAGGCAGTGTATATATTGATGTTTGATTAACTTGTTTTTGCAGAAATATGTTTTTTTTCAGTGAATAATCCTAATGACTTGCTATTGTCTCAGATTGAGGTCAACGAACGAGAGCTGATTGCTCTTAAGGCTGTAATTAAGTCCATTGAAGAACATAAACTTGATGAGCAGTATCCTCTGGATCCTCTCCAGAAACGAGTTTTCCAACTAGAGAAGGCCAAGGCAGACAAGAAGAGGGTTACTGAAGCAACAAAGCCTCAACCCAAGAGACCCCGTGCGAATGGTGTAGGATATGGTCCTCGTGTCACTAACTTTCCTTCTGACAAAACTTGCTATGCTAGAGTTGCTGACAGGTACCCACAATATGTGTATGATCGATCTTACATGTACCCTGGACCCACTGACAATCACTGCCCCCCTCTCTTTGGTTCTGCAACTTATAACATCTCTCCTAATCTTGGCAACTACTTTGGAAATGGCTATCAATACCAAGCTACATATCTCCACTAGTTAGCAGAGATGGTGAACAGATGACTATGATCCCTTTGTTTAATATTTAGTCTTAACCCTTAAGCTGTTGTATGTTGCACTTTATCAATGTAGTCTTTATGAACCGCTGAAACAGGTAAAATGTCATGTTAAAATTTAGCTTTGTACTAGAAGATATTCTGATCCTCTAATGTATGCACTCTGTTCTCTTTTTGTATACGCTTACCTTTTACCTCTAGTATATTTTTCTCGTTTCTTAGATATTTGATTGTCACTGCTTCTAATAGTGAACTACACTTCATGACTGTACTGGTGTTTTTCTCGCTTGGAAAACGTACATCGACTTGAGGACCTAATCAGCATCATTGCTATACTACTATCTATTTTGGTCCTTCCTCATCTACACTTTATGACTACGTTAATCGTTCCTCTTGCTTTATGACTAAATATCTATTTGGTCCTTGAAATTTTTAAGCATTGATCAATTTAGTTATTAACTTTTAAAAAATTTACTTTAATATTTCAAAAATCACTCATTTCAATTATAGTTTACTTCATCTTTTATTGACGTTTTATATAAAGAAGTACTAAAATAAATGTCATTCTATAAGTTAATGATTAAAGCAAGGTTACCATGAGTGATTGGGTTAAATTTTCAGAAATCTCATTATTCGGTTGGGAATCAGGTTTGTGAGAACTAAATTTATGAAATACTTTACCCAGAGTACGTTAGAGTTTCATGCTATCATTTCTGTTTTTTTCCTTTGATAATCAATGGTGAGTCCCTTGGGACCCTTAGATGAGATTGACGAGTTTGAGTCCTTTCTCTTTGAAATTGAAAAATAAAACAAAAATCTTCAGAGTTTGCAAAGACTTGAGACATTGTTAGCAGGGTTCTTAAGAGACCTTTTCCTCGTTGTTGCATTATTGCGCTTCAATCATTTCTCTCTCTTAATTAATAACTATTTTATTAATATAGTTAGTTGAAATTTTAATATTATTAATATTAATTGAAATATAATTTTTCAATAAATATTTTAAATAGTAAACTAAAAAATTCTGTTATGTTTTCAATTGCCATTATAAACCTTTTCAAATTTAAATTAAATTATATTAGAGTGGTTTTTGCCTAATCTTCGTCTTTCAGACTTCTATTTGTCATTTTTAGCACACAACAGCGTTTTATCTGATTTTTAAATTCCTTTAGACACCCATTAGAAAAATTATTAATTATCAATAAATAAATATGATTTTATTTCTATAAATAAATATTTTAAAGAAATTACTGATTTTGATTTTTATAAATTATAAAATCTTTAAAATTATCCTTATTATAATTATATGATGCTGTGGTATGTATTTAACCATGTCAAGGAATACTCAAGTAATAAGTGATGCCACCCGTGAAGATGCCTGATGCCACGTTATGGTAAACAAAAAATATGAAAAATTAAGACTAAATTTTAATATATTTACATGAATTAAAAGTATATTTTATCCTAATTTATTGGTTTAAATAAAAAAATTTATAAAAAAAAATATAATTTTTATTTGGTCCTTTTTTATTTTGTTAATTTAATTCTTCAAATTTTTTTTTTAATTTTCATTTGTCAATAATGTATTGACTTAGCTTATTATTTGAGTTGACTTATATAATTTGTGAGATAAAAGATATGAACAAAACTAAGGTTTTTAAAATTAAGATTTGAAAATATGAAAAGGATGAAGGTCCAGATGCCAAATTATCATTCATTTAAATTCTATGTCATATTATTCAAGTTAAGTCACGTACCACATAAGAAAATAATAAAATAAAATTAATGAATTACTAAAAAAATAAACTATATTAGAATAAATTTTTGAAGGACTTAAAAAAATTAAAACAAGACACCAAATAAAAAAATTACAAATTTTTTAAGATTAAAATTTATTTGAGTTTAAATATTTAAAAGTATAATTATTTTATTAAAAAATATTATTTATTAGAGAGTAATAATAGCAACACACTTCATTATTATTGACTAAAATTTTATAGAAATTACAATAATTATATAAGTCTCATTTTTTCTCACTTTTAAATATTTTTCTATATTTTTTAGTTTTTAATAAATTTAGTAAACAATGAAAAATATATTAAAGAGAGTGTATTGCTTACATTCTTCATTTATTAAATATATAAACTATAAGACTCCTTTCATTTTTATGTACTTTCATTTTTTTATAATTTTATCCCAAATAACATATTTATTTTGTAGAGGAATAAATAAGTGAAATATATAATATCTATCATTTTCTTAATTTCTGTAGAAAATTAAACATAAAATTAAAATAAATAAATAAAAGAGGTAAATACTTTATTTTCTAATAAAATTTATTATTAATTACTTTAAAATTGAAGTTAATGATTTTTTAAAAATAAATCACCTATTTTTTTTCCCCTAATGCTTCAAGCATTCATCAAAATAATTATTAAATTATAAAGCATCTGGTCTCTAATATTTCATTAATTGGTCAAATTAGTCTAATATTTCATTCACTCGTCAAATGAGACCCTAACTAATCAATCAGTATGTCAAATACTTCCTCAAATGACAACTCAGTCACGTGATCTATGACAAGTCACACAGGCATTTAAATGTCTAAACATGTTATTTTTTAAATATTATTTATTAATGATAGATGATGAGTATTTAAAAACAACTAATATTTAAAATATTTTTTTCAAATTTTACAATATTGCATAAATAAAAGAAATATTTCATTATCCTTTATATTTAAGGTCATGTTTAAATATTCAACAGTTATAATTTTTTATTAAAAATATATTTATTGTATTCAAATTATAAAAATAAAATAAACATTTTTAAAAATTAAAATTTACTAGCTTTAACTGTTTAAACTAAATTCTAAAAATCGAAGTGTATATTTTTTATGAAAAAATAATATTTAAAATACTTGATGCGGAATATCTGTTCCTTAGACCGTATCAATGAAAGTATAAAATACTATTAAAATAACAACTCTCGAGAAGAATATCTGTTCTTTCTTAATTTTGTCGAAAACGCCGTCACATACCCAAACGCTACGTATCAGTAGTTTCCACTGTGTCTGTAAACGGACAAGACGAAAACGGAAACGGGACTGTCAATAAAGGGCAAAAAAAAAAAAAAAAAAAAACAAGAAAAGAAAAAGAAAAACAGTAGAAGAAAGAGTGACAGACACAGTGTGTGTGTTGATTTAAATAAAGAGAACCACTCGTTCTCTTCTTCTTCTTCTTCGCTCTCTCTCTTAGGGTTTCACTCACAAAATGGATTGAAACTCTCTCTCTCTTTCTCTGCGTATTTTATATATTTCTTTCACGTCAATCAGGTAACTCTTCTTTTCTCTCTCTTTTTTTTTTTTATTTTTTTATTTCTCTGTGATTTTGTTTTCTTGCTGTCGGTTTAGATCGGCTTTGCTTGCATGTGGAACAACAATCCGCTTTCTCCGTTCGTCGATTCATTTTCTGTTCCACAGATTTCGTAAGCCCCCGCTCGAAATCTACGCTCGTAACTTCGGTGTCGAGAATTTTTTGTTATTTTCTTTTGGAAATTTATTGCTTTTTTTTCTTTTAAAGTTTTCGGCATATTTTTGTTTATTATTATTGGTTTTTGAAATTTCCTTGGTTGATGAGAAGAGACGTGTTGATTTTACTCCCATTTCTATTTTAGGGTTTTTGTTAGCTTGATTCTGTAGGTGTGGATCTGGAAACTTCTTTGGTAAGATTTTACTGTTTTTTTTCCTCCTTCCGCTGTTTTGAAGGCTGAGCGATGTTTTAGTTACTAATTAAGATGCCAGACAAATTATAAAAAAAGAAAAAAAATGAATACTTGAGGATATGATGGAGGATTAAAAATGATGTAAAAAATAGTAAAGTTTGTTGAAGTGAACTCTCGGAATTTTTTAAAATATTGCCAATTAGTCAACTCCACCTACAAAAATTCTATTTTAGGTTATTATATACTTCCTTTGTCGCACATTAGATTAAACACTTCTTATTTGTCTCGAATTATTGGTCACTTAAGAATATCATGAAAACATTTATTAATTTTTTCCAATAATACCCTTATTTATTAGGGATAGTTTTTGTCAACTAATTCCTAAAATAAGTCTAAGATTAGTTATTATCTAACTACTGCAATAACTTCAATACTTTTAATAGGGGTATTTTAGTGAAACCAATTAATTTTATTATAGTAATTATTAAAAATAATCAATTTTTAAAAATGTGTGCATTAGTATTTAGTGACATCTAATATAAGATAGAGGGAGTATTATTAAAGAAAATGAGCAATTGAGAATATGGTGGAGGCTTCGAAAAATGATGTAAAATAGTGAAATTAATTTAAGTGAACTCCTGAAATTCTTTAAAACAGTGGCAATTACTCAACTTTACCATAAAAAATCTTATTTTAAGTTTTATTTATTATCATATCCCTTAATCATAGCAGCTTTTGCTCTGAACCTTTATCAATAAAACGATGTCCTCAATTGTAACTTTTTATATGTTTTTAATTGGTTTATTTTTCTCCATTTGGATAGCATGAGTATGCTTTTTCTCATATGGCTCAAATATGGCTTTTCTCGAATCAAGATAATGAGTATTGTAATTGCTGATAAGTGTTTAGTTCATGCTACTGCTCTTGGTTTGTGTGCATAATTTGAAATTTTGTATTTGTTTTATTATTTTATCTTCAGCTTCTTTGCTATGGAAGACGCAGACTCAGTTGCTACACTAATAGATTCTACAACTTCTAAGATACAACAGCTGCAAAGGGCTTTTGCTGAACTTGAAAGTTATCGAGCTGTTACTCTTAATTTGAAATGGAAAGAACTAGAGGAGCACTTTCATGGTCTTGAGAAATCTTTGAAGAGGCGCTTTCATGAATTGGAAGACCAAGAGAAAGAGTTTGAAAACAAGACAATGAAAGCTCGTGAGTTGTTGGAGAAGCGTGAAGCAGATGTTTTTGCCAAGGAGCAAGCCTCATTGCAGAAACTCCAAGAGAAAAGGGATGATGCTGTATTTGCCATTGTAAATGCTCGAGAAAAACACAGGAAGGTTTCATCACGTGAATCGACTATTGTCTCAAATGGGGATAAAGAGAGGATACCAAGAGTGGAGGAGAAACCTATGAATAATGTGTTCATTGCTGCTGAAGGTAACATGGAAGATGTAAAGCTTTCTCCTGAAAATGGAAATGTGGAGTTGATGTCTTATCCAGAGTTGGTGAAACTATGTAAAGAGGTGGATGCTGCTGGACTACACAAATTCATATCTGATAACCGTAAGAACCTGGCTGCTTTAAGGGAGGAAATACCACATGCATTAGGAGCTGCTCCTAGTGCAGCCTGTTTAGTCTTAGATTCTCTGGAAGGATTTTACTGTATGGAAGTGTCAAGCCTGGATGTAAAGAAGGATGCTAACTTATTGGGTCTTCGCCGAACCTGTATCATGCTGATGGAATGTTTAAGTGATTTCTTGAGCAGCTCAGATTGTGTTTCTGATGTAATTTCAGAAGATATCAAGGACAGGGCAAAGGCAGTTGCTGAAGAATGGAAACCAAGATTGGATGCTCTTGACATGGATGCAAGCAATGGGAATTCCTTGGAGGCTCATGCATTTTTGCAACTTCTAGCCAGTTTTGGTATTGCCTCTGGTTTTGATAAGGAAGAATTATTCAGACTGATACCAATGGTTTCTCGGCGCCGCCAAACTGCTGATCTATGCCGTTTCCTTGGGCTGTCAGAAAAGATGCCTGGTGTGTATCTGTCCTTTTATAATGTTTTTTTGACATGAATCAAACCTTTATAAGAACTATCTGAGATTTTGAATGATATTGAACTAAATCTGATACAAGTAAAGGAAATTGTTGTTTTTATTTTTCTGTGTGTATTAGTATGCTAGGATGTTCGCTGAATACTGATGATGCAAATTATCTAATGCAATACACGCCATTTTTATATAAATTGAAAGAGAATCTTTTGATCCTAACACACTAAATGCAGCAGTGCTTGACTTTTTTATTAAAACCTAGACCTTAGTTTCTAAGAAGCATCCCAAATGAAATGGCTTTTAACATGCAAGTCTCGTGCATGAATTTAACATTTGTATCAATTATAGAGTGAAGCAACGAAACTTCGCATCTGTTTGTTTAATGCTTCATTTAACTTTTTGGGATGCAGGTGTAATTGAGGTTTTGGTGAACAGTGGCCGGCAAATTGATGCTGTTAACTTGGCTTTTGCATTTGATCTTACTGAACAATTTTCTCCCGTTTCCTTACTGAAGTCTTACTTGAAAGATGCTAGAAAAGCTTCTTCTCCTGTTAAAAGTGTCAATTCATCTCCCACTGCACAGGTGTGTTGTTGAGTGTCTGCTATATTAAGTAATTATTCCCTCCATTGTTTTGTTTTTACAATTTGTGCTAGTGATTTGAAAAATTGCCAAGTTCTTTTGTTTTCTCTAATATTGCTTTTGCCTTGGGTCATAATTGAATGCCATTTTCATGTAGAACAAGACAGTGTATAAGGTTGCACTTATCATATAATATGGCCTGTAGGTAAAGCTGATGAGCAGGATGGCCTGCACATTATTCATGTTTGTTTGAGAAAAGAAAAAAAAATGATGGAGATGATGTGGATTCTCCTATGAATAATAAGGGAAAAGTATACTTAATTTAATTCTATTTGGCAGCAGCAGATATATTTTGAATAAAAAGCACTTTGGTGCTAGAGCTTCATGAAAGTTTTAATGCAATATAAAAAGAACTTGATTGTTGTTATGAATAGCTAGTAGTGCTTGCAGCTCTTACTGTTTAGGACTTCAGGGTTATGGTTATTGAGTTTCACGGAGATTTTAGCTTGTTGTTCGACTTACAGGAAGTCAGTGAATTTGTTTATACTGGGTGTATTATGACATGCCATTTGACCGCAAGTATTGAATTTAATTATCTCTGAGATTCTTTTATTTTGCATAGTAAATTGTTCTATTTCATTTATAATATTCTTGCTGGTGTTTGAACAATGTACATCTTCAACCAGATCTTTGGTGAATAAGAAAAAAAAGCAGTTTTCAAAAGTAGCATAGGCATTATTCAGATATAAGTTCACAGAAAGCAACTGTATGTACACCCCTTGTTGCGAGGTGATACTAATTTATGCCTATGATGGCTAAAAAATGCAACAGTACTGTCCAATATCTTTACATATTTAGTGAGAGATACTCTCTTGATAATTATGGGCAGTGCACTGAAGTTGTGGTGGTGGCTTTCTAGTTCCCAATGAAAAAGTCTTGAAAGATGTGGAACAAGTAAATTAATTACAGGAGTTGGGAATAATTATAATTGTCATTTTTTAACCGGAGTCAGCTCTTCTGCCAAATCAGAAAAAATATTATCATCATCCCATTTTGTGAATCTATGTAATTGCAATTAAGAGATTTTATTTTATTGCGCCTGTTGAAATTCATAAAGTGGTGGTACTGGGGCCACTGAAACAATAGGGGCACAAGTGCTTGATTCAAAAAATTAAAGGGATTCTAAGTGCAATAAAATCCAGAAGCAATCTACACATGGCACCCAAGCATATCTTGTGTCTGTCAGATCCTTATTTGCGTATTTCAAGATACCTCTGATAAAATGCTCTGTTTCTGAATTGCTTTTTGTGGTAATATGCAGTTTCTCTGTTTATTTTTATTTTTAATATTCTTGGTGCCTTGTCTCAGATTGAGGTTAATGAACGAGAGCTGATCGCTCTTAAGGCTGTAATCAAGTGCGTTGAAGAACATAAACTTGATGAGCAGTATCCTCTGGATCCTCTCCAGAAACGATTGCTCCAGCTAGAGAAGGCCAAAGCTGACAAGAAGAGGGAAACTGAAGCGACAAAGCCTCAACCCAAGAGGCCCCGAGCTAATGGTGTGGGATACGGTCCTCGTGTCACTAACATTCCGTCTGACAAAACTTGCTATGCTAGAGTTGCTGACAGGTACCCACAGTACGTATATGATCGACCTTACATGTACCCTGCGCCAACTGAAAATCATTGCCCCCCTCTCTTGAGCACTGCAACGTATAACCTCTCCCCCAGTCATGGCAACTACTTCGCAAATGGTTATCAGTACCAAGCTACATATCTCCACTAGTTAGCTGAGATGTGAACAGGCAATTATGATCCCTTTTGTTTAATATCTAGTCTTAACCTTTAAAGCTGTTGTATGTTTCACTTCTTTAATTTAGTCTTTAAGAATCGCAGATACAGGTTAAATGTCACCTTAAAATTTAACTTCTGTAGCTGAAGATATTCTGATCCTCTAATGTATGAACTCTGTTCACGTTTTGTACAAACTTGAAGCCTTTGTAATATATTCTTATCGTCTTAGATCTGTGGCCGACCCTTTTTTAATCTTACTATCAAGATCTATGGCTGTCACTGATTCTAAACAATATCTTCCTCTCCATGGTCTTTCGTTGTGTATTAGAATGGAGTTACTGCTAGGACTGTTTGCAACCCCTGAGCTCTTCAATCATCAGCAAGCTTTTGTTTTACCCTCCGTTGTTTTATAGGGTTTGTTTTTGTGCAGCGCTGCTAGTTAACACAATTTAATATACAGCAGCACATTTGGGTCCATATTTTATAGGGCTGAGAAAAAATCCAAATTTAGAATTTCAATCCATAATCAAAATTAAATTAGTTTTAAAATCCTAATATTTAATAAAACTGGATATTTAGACTTACTTTGTTTTCTTATCCGGATCTCCTTTGATAAATCCAGATCGTATCTATCAAATCGATAAAATCTGGCTGCGCTGTCCTTTCTCTCCACTTCTACTAAGAGACAACCGTTGAAGGAGCATTTAGAAATATAAAAGCTCCAATTAAAATCATATGTTATACTCTTCTCTTTTTTATCATTTCAATATATAAAAATCACAACTTTTTCTTATGTCATAAAAATAAATAAATAAAGTTATATTTAAATTAATTACCATACATTTAAAATATTAAGAATACCGATTAATGTTTTCAAATAAATTTTCAAGAAAAGTATATTAATAGTATTTCTAATTCATTGAAACATATATTTCTAAAAAATAAATTTATAATTAAAAACATGATAAAAAATATAAAATTAAAAAAATTAATTACATAATAGTTATAACGCAGCAAGTAAACGTCCAAAAGCTAATTTTACTAAAATTAGATTTAAAATTGATTTTAAACTAAACCTAAATTTTAAAACCAGTTTTAAACTAGTTTAAAAAAAAATTAAAATTCAATCCATTCATATAATTAGATTTAAAATGAATTGAGATTCATTTTATGAAAATCAATTTATGCTCATCCCTAATATTTTATAAGACATTTTTAATAAAGTTATATAGTTCACTAAAAGCAGTTAAAATTAGTTAAGCTTTTTTATTTATTTTTTAACAAATACTACATGATAATTTTACTCATTTATACTATTGAGTCTAATTTTACTATCAGCATTTATTCTATTTAGTTTTATAGAAATTATAAAGTGGTTTATAAAAAGGCAGCAGAGGAAGTATTTTCAAATAACATTCTGAAGTGAGGCTTGCTAAATGTATTTATGTGTAACATTGTCAAGTAGAGTGACATTCAGGCCTAATTCAAGTAGAGTGATAATAGTTTATAATTAATTTGCATAAATTAAGAGTGTCTTTCATAATAGTTTATAATTAATTTTTTTAGTCAAAAAACTAGTAGAGTTATTTAATGAAAAAAAGAAGAAGAAATTCGTAACTTATAAAAACAAGCTTATAAAAATTCTAAGTAGCATAAAAATTAATAAAAATTAGTTATTGATATTTTATTTTCATTTTTATCTTTAATTTTTTGAATAATTTATACTTACAAAATAATCTTTAATCACTTTATTCATCGCATAGAATTGTTATCCCTATCAACTTTTTCCTCGTTTCTTATTTAAATAGTTAATTGATAAAAATAAAAATATTTAATTAATATAAATGATAATAAATAAATAATTAATATTAATTGTAATATTATGTTAATATATTATTATTATTTCACTCATTTAATTTATTTAAATTAATTGTACAGCTAATTTTGTCAAATAACTTTAATTCAATCAATTAAGGACAAGTTATAAGTCTTTAGTTATAGGTTAACTTATCTATTATAAGTTATTATAGAGGATAAATTTAGCAAGTGCATTGAGCCAATTCACAAGTCCATCATTATTTGGACTTACAATTATGGATGATAAATTTGACAACAATAATGAAAACTAAAATAAATTAAACTTAATTGAATTATAGAAAATCACTCCCTCTGGTCTTCTTTTATAAGACACATTCTACAAGATTTTAATAGTTTTTTTTATATGAAACATTTATTATATTTTTTTTCATTTATTCTTAATAAATGAAGTTGGTGGAAACTTAAAACCAAGAACAATAAATATTGACGGTGGAGATAAATTCAATCTTATTATTTTTTCCCTAGACTAAATTCAATATTATTAAATAAAGGTAATATTGAAAGTTATATAAGGTAAGGACATTAAATACTATCATTACATTAAATAACATTGAATTCTGTAACTTTTAATCAAAATTATATAAATTTTATTTTTTTTATAATGTTTCATATGTTAGAAAAATTATATTTTTAAAAATAACTAATTTAATTACTTTTTTATTTATATAATTTAGTTAAAGGTTTTTCTAAAAGGGCTAAAAGAAAGTGTAAGAGAAAGCCCAAAATGATAGAGTAAAATACATAATTCACATAACATGGCCATGAATTTGCCTAAACCTCACTCAACTATAGTTATGATTCAACCCAACTCAAGTCAACGTGTGAATCTGATCCTAATTCCCTAGAAACTTTTAATTAGAAAAAACATTAACATCAATAATCTAAAAGATTTTACAATTGATAATTTCAATTCCTATTGCATCACTAATTATGTTCCATATTCCTTTCTAATATCTAGCTCAATTTTCCAATCAGATAGCTTGCACAATTTAAATATAAGCATAAAATTGAACATGAATTTATAAACCTGAATTGAATCATGAAATACAAGGTCACATTGAGTTTAGGTTAGGGTTCTCCATCTCCTAACACGATAAAATAAAAATGAAAAACAAAAAAATGGTAGAAGAAGGGAAAAAATGAGGAAAAAACAAAAAGTGAAGGCGTAATGAATTAGGTGCTCTTCAATCTTGTTCCCATAAATTCCAAGTCCTAAGATTAGAGAAAAGCTTTAATGAATCTAAGTTCTACTTTCAAAGTCTATTAAAATTAAGAAGTGGCTATTTATATTTGTTCCAATGTGTTTTAGGTGTAGATATATGCATGTTCCCCTCATACAGCATCTTAGCTTAGTAAGTTCTTGTCACAGTTCTACTCGTGTACCAGAATCCAGCCTTCAAAGAGCGTTTTTATGTTAGAAATGAAGTAGAATTTTGGTAAGTGGGCAAAAAGCTCAGGTTCCCAAGTGTAGTTTTTAGACTGTGTTTGAGTAAGAAATTTCAAAATTTTTAAAAATATGAACCACCATATATATATATTTAGAGTAAAAATTATGAACAATTATGAATGCTAAATATAAAAAGTTAACTATAACATTTAAATTTTTTAATTTTTTCTAAAAAAATCATTTAAAATTAATTTTATTTAACCTAAAAGGTATGATATAGCTTCTACAATAATAGTTAATATTTATTTGTTTGTTATTGAATTAAGAAAGGTAGCTGAAGTCTTTGTTTATTACTGAATTAAAAAGGTAGCTAGTAATTCACTAATTATTAGTAGATGTGATTCACTTTTTATGTCACTATCTATTTTTTATAATAAAGAAGTGTAAATTAAAATACAAAAGGCAGAAAATTATTCAATTATAAGTCTCTTGTTTCTTTTTTTGGTTGCTTGCTATTTCCTGAAAAAGCCTCCCTCTCTTGAAACCAGAAGAACCTTAAAATTGTGAGGTCCTATCAAGTTATCTTATTAAAATGTTGTAGTGTTTTAAAATTATTTTTTCTTATTTTTAATATTTTGTATATTTTAAAGATATATTAATAATTAAAATAAAGTAACGCAATAAATTATTTATTAATTTATTTTTATATAAAAATTGGTGAAATTAACCTACTTGATAAAAATCTTTAAATCAATGATTAAATTAATTAACATCTTAATAAAAAGTTATTAAATGATATAAATTTTCAAATTTAATACTTAGTGTATGCTAACTCATTTAATATTATTTTTTACTATTTTTTTGTTTAGAAAGAAAAAAATTATTATTTATTTGTTTATGTAAAAATTCTTCAACAAAATATAATTATTATTTATTACGGGTATTCTTTGCATGTATAAAAATAAAAAATATTTACACTTATTGACCAAGAGCTAAGAAAACTCATTAATAAAGAATATATTTAAAATTGATTAAGTATTTTTATATACTAATTTCTCTTTGCATTGGATAAATAAGAATTATATTTTTAGTTTTATAAAAGTAACACTTTTGAATTTAATTTTTTTAAAAATTTGTTAGAATATATTTTTTAATATTTTTAAAATATTTAAAATTAGTCCATGCTGTTAATTATTTTTTTAATAAATGAGTTGAACATTTTTAATATTTTATTATTTAAAAATAAATATTAAAAAAACAGAAAAAAAGTTTATAAAAAATCCAACTCCATGAACACTCCCTTTCCATTTGCGACTCTGGATAGCGAGACGATAGATCAGATCCATCTCCTCAAATTAATTTACATTTCACACTTTTTTAGAAGTGGGAAGGGTCACATCCAAGAGAACTGGGAACCTCTTCTTGTCTTCCAAAATTACTATTAGAGTACATTAATAATTTTTTTAAGTTGTTTCTTAAAGAAATGGTTAGTATTTGCTTAAATTTTATCCAATTATAATAAATATATTAAAACAGTATGTTGAGGATCTTGATTAAAGAATTAAATATAATTTTTTATTAAGAAATATTAAAATACAGTAAAAATTATAAATATTTAAAAAAAATTATTTTATAATTAATATATTTAATTTTTTTTAAATAATAAACTCACTCAACATATTCAAATACGTGAATGGATAAATCTAAATTTAATTAGATGAAAAAAAAAAGTAATACTTGTCTTATTTTCTTTTGCTATGAATATTTGTCTTATTTAAACAATTAAAAGTGATTAAAACAATATAATGTTTGTTTATCAATCATTTTCTCACGTAGGCAGTTGTCAAAGACGTTTACTCTAATTTATTAGGTTCATTCTTTGCCGTCTTGATTCCTAGTTTCCCACTATAGTATTTGCTGAAATGTTTTTTAATGTATAGGATTAAAGTTTATACATGATATATATATTTTTAAATTATATGATATAATTGACTTTATTACATTAATAATATCTAGATATTATATATTTTTAAAAGTATATTGATTAATTTTTTTGGTTAAATTCTTTCAAAACACCTTGGAAAAAATATTAAAGAAGGAGGAATGGTTTTCTAACTTTGGGTCTCTGCATTTTCTTTGCCACAACAATAATAGGAAATTAGCAAAAACACCCTTTTTATTGTTTTTTCAACAAAAGGCGCGTCAGCAACACAAGAAGCACTTTCACAAGTCTTCGCGTTTCCATAGTCCAAGTCTTCTCTTCTCAAGCTTGGAAGTTTCCGGCTTTTCCTTGTTTGACCCCTTCCACTCATTCACATCCACACTATCAAATATAATCTTTAAACACTTTTAAGGTAACTTCTCGGTTCCCTTATCATCTGAAATTTTCAAACTTTGGTTCATTTTTGGATAGAAAATTTCCTCACTCTTCATTTTCTGCTCTTTACTTAGTGTGTGTGTTTTTGGGCAGAGTTATGTTTATAGAAAGCTTCATGGGTTTTCCTGAATTGGGTTGTCCAAAATCTCAGGTGGGTATTTCAGCACTTGATCAAAAGTTCATCTTTCCCATTTCAACTTTTTCTTTTCCTTCTGTCAAGCAGTCTTGCTTTGTTGCAGAGTGAATTTTGGTCTAAAGTTACGGTTTTTTTTTTTTTTTTTGCCTTTTTAAAAATTATTATTATTGGTTCTGTTTACTTTTTGGATGGTTGACTTGACTTGTGTGAAGTACTGAATTCAGTGAATTGTGTTTTGTTTTCATTTCAATGTTTCTCAGGGTGTGTTCTTGGGAGGGTTGTAGTGCTACGGAGTTTATATGTTGTGCTGTGGCTTGAATTGGATACCAATCTGAGTGAGGAGGTGCTTGGATTACTTCTTATTGGCTTGTGTTAAGGATATAGGTGAAGATGGTTCTGAGTAACCGGGTTTTGAGTTCTCGAATTCTTGTGAATTTCTTGCTGCTGATTAGTTGTGGCATGACCTTTGGGACTGTAACTGATGTCTTCTGCTTGAAAAAAATCAGAGAGTCCCTTCAGGATCCCAATAACTATTTAAACTCTTCTTGGAATTTCGACAACAAAACTGAGGGGTTTATCTGCAACTTTAATGGGGTTGAGTGTTGGCACCCTGATGAGAATAGAGTCTTGAATCTCAAACTGTCAAATATGGGACTCAAGGGCCAGTTTCCTCGTTTCATTCGAAATTGCTCCAGCTTAACTGGATTAGACCTTTCCATGAACAAACTCTCTGGAAGCATTCCAGGAGATATATCGGATCTTATACAGTATGTGACATCTCTTGATCTATCTTCAAATGAATTTTCTGGGGAAATACCTGTGAGTCTTGCGAATTGTACCTTTCTTAATACCCTTAAACTTGATCAGAATCAACTCACTGGTCAAATCCCTCAACAATTTAGCGCTCTCGCACGACTGAAGGAATTTTCTGTATCCAACAATCTTTTGACAGGTCCAGTTCCTGGCTTTAACAAAAGTCAAGTTACGGTGTTGAGTTATGCAAATAATCAAGGCCTATGTGGAGATTCATTGCCGTCATGCCAGACAAAGTCTTCCAAGAGTAACACTGCTGTTATTGCTGGTGCTGCTGTTGGTGGGGTGACACTTGCTGCATTAGGATTGGGTGTTTTAATGTTCTTCTTTGTGCGACGTGTTTCTTTCAAGAAGGAAGAGGACCCCGAAGGAAACAAATGGGCAAGGAGTATAAAAGGAACTAAAACAATTAAGGCAAGATACATTGATGCATTGTTCGCGACATATATTACTACACGCAGAGAAGCTTTTCATTTTTCTTATAGATCCATTTGTCTTTTATAGCATTAGATAATTGCTTAAATGTTTTCAATGGAAACTAGTTTGTTGGAATACATTGTCTCTTTTGGTTTTTGTAATACTTTCAAGTTTCAACTGAAATATTTTCTCAATAAATATTATATTTCCTTGACATTGTTGTGAATTTTGATTGGCAAGACGTGTTTTCCATATTGCTGTGCCGAACACAGGAAAATAATATATTTTCTAAACCAAATTGGTAAATGTAGAATATTCTTTCTGAAAAATTAATTTTTGTAAAATTTACAGGCCTTAGTTTACCTGATTTATATACTATTGAACTCTTATAAGAATGTTATGTTGAAGTCTAACTATACTGAATTGGACATCAGGTTTCCATGTTTGAGAAATCAATTTCAAAAATGAAATTGAGTGATCTCATGAAGGCTACTAACAACTTCAGTAACACCAATATCATTGGGAAAGGAAGTACAGGAACAGTTTACAGAGCTGTTCTTGATGATGGCACAACACTTATGGTTAAGAGACTGCAGCAATCTCAGCACTCTGAGAAAGAATTTATGTCTGAGATGGGTACACTGGGGACTGTTAGACATCGTAACCTTGTTCCTCTTTTAGGTTTCTGCATGGCCAAAAAGGAGAGGCTTTTGGTCTATAAAAACATGCCAAATGGCAACCTCTATGATCAACTACATCCTGCAGATGGTGGGAGCACTCTCGACTGGCCCATGAGGCTCAAAATTGCACTTGGAGCAGCCAAAGGGTTAGCATGGCTTCATCATAGCTGCAATCCCCGTATCATCCACCGAAACATAAGCGCAAAGTGCATCTTGTTGGATGCTGATTTTGAGCCCAAAATTTCTGATTTTGGCCTTGCCAGACTGATGAACCCAATTGATACTCATTTGAGTACTTTCGTAAATGGCGAGTTTGGGGATTTTGGATATGTTGCTCCTGAATACACTAAAACTTTGGTTGCTACCCCGAAGGGGGATATTTATAGCTTTGGAACTGTGCTTCTTGAGTTGGTGACTAGTGAAAGACCTACCAATGTGGCTAAAGCTCCAGAAACTTTTAAAGGAAATCTAGTAGAATGGATTACGGAGCTCTCAAGTAAGTCACAACTCCAGGATGCCATTGATGAATCACTAGTTGGCAAGGGTGATGATACCGAGCTTTTCCAATTTTTAAAGGTTGCATGCAACTGTGTTGTACCAACTCCTAAGGAGAGGCCCACCATGTTTGAAGTATATCAGCTTTTAAGAGCTATTGGGGGTAGATACAATATAATAACTGAGGATGACTTGTTGTTACCTACAGATATTGGTGATACTGAAAACTTGGGGGAACTTATTGTAGCTCGAGAAGGAAATATATGAAAAGGTATGTGAAAATATATACAGGGTATATGTAAGCAGTTTTAAATTTTAATATGTAATTATCTATTTCTTACTTTGTTTTCCTAAAATAAATGTTAGGGGTATATGTAGTTTTGAGGATCTAGATCCAGATGTGTGCTATTGAAATTGGAACGTCAATATAAGTTCATCAATCAAGGATTAGATGTAGTTGAGTTACTTCTTTCTACTCATATTTTAATCTGGTTTCATTGTTCTCCCTCTTAATGTCAATTGTTTTCAATAGCCAGTTTTTCCAAAATCTAAAGATTTTTGTTGAGGACTTATGGATATATATATATTTTCTTATATCTAACATGTATCAGCTATCTGGGCTTGAAGCATGGACAGCATGTTCGTGTTCATTATTAGCACTTTTTGTGGTTTAAAGAGTGCTAAGTAACTAAACTACTGAGCAAAAATGACATCAAACCATTGGAGGGGCATCTTGTTAACTTTTTAGTTCTTGTTTTGTGTAATTTCTTGGTATATTATCTAATCACATAGTAGGCAAAAGTATACGTCGAATATCTTTTCCATGGTTTATGCATTTGCAATCGATTTCCGTAGGGTGCTCTAAGATGTGGTCTTGGCCTCTTGGGCACATTTGAATGCTTGCAAATTTTTAGTTAATCTGAAAGAATTTTTATCCTTCTTAGGCACTAATGCTATAAACCAGCCTATACCAGCCTATAGAAAAATACTTTAAAATGAATCTGTAAATTAATTGATTAACATTTGGCATTTAGAGATGATCAAGTGTTCAGAGTTTCAGAAGTATTTAGAGATCCAGCGCATGATAGAGTCAAGAGAAAGGAAATTCAAACTTTTCTTGTCTGAAGGGGAGAACTGGAAATTGTATCACTGTTAAATGAACATTTTTTTGAAGTTACAAATTAGTTTTTGTTTACAGGAAAGATAAGCAAAATTCTCTCTATATGCCAAGAAGCATGTTGCATAGATTGATGGGCACAAAAATTGGTTAATAAGAAAAAAAAATATTCATGTTAAATTCCATGACTCAGGTAAATTTAATGCCTTGTACTTTGACAATATTTTGTTGTTCTGTAATCGCTACTTGAAAATCAACATAGCTAAATCAAGGCATTATAATTGTTACGAGATGCATGATGTCTCATATAAGTTTAGTTGTTATGTTATTCTTGAGTTTCTTTTGTGAAAAAGCTTTTGAATATCTTTTGGAAGTACTTCGAGTTTTAAGCAATTTTACATTTTCTATTGAGTAAATATTAATGTCAAAATTGTTTAATAAAAAGTTACCGAACTCATTTTTGTTAGTTGTATTATTTATTTTTTGAAATTTATTTTGAAAGTGTGAATACATTCAAGAAATTAAAAATTAAAAATTATTTATTAATTACTTTCAGAATTTAATTTTGAAAAATATAATACTACTTTTAAAAATTAAATTTTAAAAGTCATTTATTGGAATAAATTAACTATTACAATTAACTTTGTACTTTTTTTCTTCATAATTTTGTATAAAGGGTGACTATATTGTATAATCTAAATGAAATAAATTATTTTAAATTATTTTTCCTAATATATCTAAATATTGAATATATTTTATACAGGTGATTGTATATTAACAGTAATTAATTATTAAAATATTTTATTTTCACGGATAATCAAAACACATACCAGGTATTTATATAAAGAAAGAGATGATTTCCAAAAATAATAATAATAATAAAAAAAGCATTTGTTCGATTGTGTTGTGCATTCTTACACGTTTCTTATATAAAACCATCGTCATTATTGAAAGTATTATTTAATTGTCATCTATACGCATTGATTGAAAACATTATTCAATTTTTTTATCTTTTAGCTAATTTTTCAACTTTAAATTTTTAATTGGCTTTTATGTTAATTTTGCGAAAACACCCCCAATATTTATCTAGCTAATGCTCCCAATAACGAAATTGCATTGCTTAAATTTCCATGTTTGCAGTTAACTTAGTAATAACTCAATACTTCACATCAAGAATAAATAAGAGTAATCTTAGTAATATACTTTCTAACACGCTTTATATAATATTTTCTGTTAACTAAAATTTAAAAAAATTATGTGAATTTTTAATAAATTTTAGTTAATAATAAAATGTGTTAAAAAAATATTATTAACATTTATGTAAAAGTAAACATAAAAAATGCTTATTTATCTCAAACCTTGTACGAGCCATCAAAATTTGTCACAATTTGAAACCAAGGATGGATTGATCAACCACACCCTCCTTTTTAAAAATAAAAAATAAAAAAATTCATTTATAATTTTTATTTTAAATATTTTTAAATAAGATTTTATCTTCCAAAATTATATATTTTTTCTATTTGGTCATTCTTTTCTAATTTAGTCTTTCAAACATTATTTTTATTTCCGTTTATTCTCTTTATTAGTAATTTGTTAATTTATTTTATTTACGTAATATTTGAGTTTGTTTATATAATTTGACTGAGATATAATATGAATTAGATCTGTTATTAACAACATTACATCTTTCATTTTTTAAATAAAATTTTAAGTTATAAGGTTAAAAGTTTTGAAATTAATATTTAGATATATAAAAGGAATAATAAAAATATAAATGTCACATAATCATTTATATAAATTATATATCATATTATATAAGTTAAGTTGGATTTTACATGGATAAATATTAGAAAATAAATAATGAATTACTAATATAAGGTGGACTATGAAAATAAAAAAAATTTAAAAATATTATTTGAGAAAAATTAAAAATGAGGATCAAATAAAAAATTATGAATTTATGAAGAACAAGAACCTTATTTAAGTGAAATTATACAACTATTTATTTATTTATTAATTTTACATATTAAATGTAAGTACTTATCTTTTTTCAGAGTCAAATTTTCTCTCAATTTCTTTTAGCGTGGCCCTGTCATTAACTCATTATAGCTAGAAATATAAAACAGTTTAATAGTCATTACAGAACCGTTCAAGCTTTTATATTCATTGACTTTTTCATATGCCGAAACAAGATCCCATTTTTCAATGAGTTATTCAATGAAAGAGTTAATTTATTCATAAAATATTATTATACAACATATTTTTACAATACTGATTATTTATTTATTACATTGTTTATCTTATCTCTGACACTTAATATGAGAAAATATGATAACTTAACAACAAATTTTGACTAGGTTGATGACCAATTAAAATACAGCAAAATTAGAATGAAGTCAAATACAAAAGTCTAGTGTCCATGAAAACTAAAAAAACTTGTGCATTAGGGTGAAAGACAATTGGACAAAGCATTAAACTGTTAAGTGATGATCGGATTAGGAGGAATAACTAGGAGTGTTAGGGACAATTCTATGTCAACCCTAGTTCTACATAGGTAGAGTCACGCCACATCCTAAAATAGAAAAATGAACACAAGAAAAAATGATGGAAGGGAGATAAATGTTACCTTCGAGAACAAGCTAGAATGAAAAACAAAAAAAAGAAGAGAGCAAAGAGTTGATAATCTTTAAAGAAAAAACAAATATATGCTCTAAAAGTTTACCAATTCAACTCCAGTAAAATATGGTTATGAAATAAGCTTTAAAAGATGAATTAATATTTTTAAGCCATTATTAGAGAATAAAAGGCTTGTAAACCACTTTAAATTGAACAAATATGGAATTTATGTATCTTGATGATATTTCTTCTAAATATTGAATTGATGTGTTTGCATATAGCGTTATTAACTGCACGTTTGGAATTGCTTGATTTTAGAAAGATAATATAACTTGGTTTTTAAAAGTAAGTGAAAACAAAATGCGTTAAATTTTTATTAAAAATTAATAAAAATTGAAGGGCATCAACGATGGGTAATTGACCGTGTCCATCACAGCACCCCATGACATGACATAGTTTACGCGGAAGCATGCAGAAAGAAGCAGACACACAATAGAAGTCAGATAACAGAACAAAGATGCATCAAAGTCAAACATTGTGCCAATTTTAGACAAATTAAAATGTTTGAATGGAAAGCAACACAAAACGATGTTTGGATTATAAATAGGATGTCTTGAAAACATTTTTATGTGCACAACAAAACTATGGCTTCTAAAAGAATCTCCCTTGTTTGGATTGTCCTCTTTTTTTGTGTGTTTTATGTATGTGCCAAGGCAACTGCATTCAATCCTGCTGATGCTTCTGGACTTCATAGCAGTAAGTGAAATTAAGCCATTTGTCATTTGTATGAATATTCTTGTCTTTTCCATTCACACGTGTAGAAATGCATATCATACAACAATATCGATTTGCATTTACATTAGAAGTTGAATTGAATTTCACCATCATGCATTACCCATTGATGTGATTCTGGAATGGTTAGTTTATGATAACATGAAAATGAAGTGCTTTTGTTCTTATTTGTCTTGTCCAAGAAGTGGCAGGGTCATTCAGAAGAGGAAGAGTCATTTTGTCAAAGCAACCCGATGAACCTTGATGCCACAATTATCGTCGTCCATGATCTATGTGTTGTATTGTAATTGTAATTGTAATTAAGATGGAATAAGTACCTCTAAGACATTCTCCATCAGATACAACTTATGCCTAGTGTAATTGTTTGAATGTAGTGTTGTGATGCAATTGGTTTAGTTTATAAACCTGTTTGTAAAGCTCACACAATGTCCTTCAAAATTAACAATTTATCATTGTCATTTTATTTGCATTCAAAATTATAAACCACTTTTCTTTATCGTTGATTTTTGTTTAAAAAATTGATTTTGGGTGGAAAAATACAAAAAATAAAATAAATAAACTCTGAATAATTTGTATCAATCCAAGGTCTCTTTCTTTATAATTTGTTTCTTCTACAACGAGACACGGAATGTCAACAAATGATATTAAACGCTAAACTTAGTAAAACACTATTGTCAATTATTTTTTTTAATAAAAAATTAATTCATGTAATATTATCATGATACAATCTTATCTCACTAAATGAGATTGACTACATGGATCACATGACACCATTAAACTCGGTCAAAAACTAAATTTTAAAAAATTTGGTTAATAAAAATGTTTATTTTTTAATAACTTCATCTAAGGTTCTTTTGGATTTCTCTTAACTATTCTATACCAGAAGTCTTACAATTCACACTTTCTATTGACACCTCTAAAGGTCTT